TGGATGGATGGATGGATGGATGGATGGATGGATGGATGGATGGATGGATAGACAGACAGACAGGCAGGCAGGTAGGTAGGTAGGCAGGAAGGAAGGCAGGCAGGCAAACAGACAGACCTTTTGGATGGATGGACAGACAGAATGCGACAGCGGCGGCACTTTGGGAAATCGGTGGCAGTGGCTTTTCCCAACGTGCTGCCGCATTCGAGGCACCGGTTCTGGAGCATTACTACAGTCAATGGGTGAACCTGCAGGGCTGGCACCTCGAACGCCCCCCTGCCGCCTCTTAGCGTCCCCAAGGGGGCCAGCAGATGGGGGCTAAGAGGTGGCAGGGGGGTGTTCGAGGCGCCGGCCCTGCAGTTTCACCCATTGAGTAGCACTGCTCCGGAGCCGGAGCCCCCAATGCGGAAGCGGTGGCACCTTACATGCCGCCACGGGCGTGTTCGACGCGCCACCCCCTGCCGCCTCTTAGCACCCTTCTGCTGGCCCCCTTGGGGATCCTAAGAGGTGGCAGGGGGGCGTTCAAGGCGCCGGCCCTGCAGGTTCACCCCTTGACTAGCACTGCTCTGGAACCGGCGCCTCCAATGTGGAAGCGGTGGCACGTTACATGCCGCCACGGCCACGTTCGACGCGCCGCCCTCCTGCCGCCTCTTAGCGCCCTTCTGCTGCCCCCCTTGGGGATCCTAAGAGGTGGGAGGGGGGCGTTCAAGGCGCCGGCCCTGCAGGTTCACCCCTTGACTGTAGCACCACTCCGGAGTCGGCGCCTCAATGGGTGAACCGCAACCCTGAACGCTCCCTTGCTGGGGGGGTGGGGGGAGGCATGAGAAAATGGACGCGTGGTCTTACCATTTTTTTACGGCACAGATCAAAATAAAAAATTAAAACACTGAAATAAAATAAATAAAATAAAGAGCAGAACAAGTAATGTGTAATTAGTGCTGAGATAATAGAATAACAGAACAACAGTGGCCAAGTCTGGCTAATTTTACAGCCAGTAAAGCAGAATTCCGCTACATTCAAAGAAACGGTATCCTATTGACCTGATAGTAATCGCTATCCATAAAAGAGATCAGAATTCCACGGATATTTTGCCAGGTAACATATTATTAAACTAATCCTTGGATTCTTGTAGAAGACGCAATGTAACAGAACGTGAGCTGTGGTTCCAGTGGACTCTTGTCATTCTCAGCTTTGTAATCGGCCCTCCAGAACTGCTGTGGGGAGGGCGTTAGAAGTGCTAGAGTTGTAAGTGCCCCCCGGATTTGATCTTTGGGAACGTTTCAGTCCTCGAGAAGCGGAAGGACTAAAAAGTTTGCCCTGTCGTCAATGCCATCTCAGGTGCATCATAAAATCCCCACAACATACTTGTATTCTTTTTTTTTTCCCTTAAAAGTTTGTGCCCTGACTAACCTGGCATCCGAGGAGGCAGCCTGGGTCGCCAAAACGGATGGGACCCCTATCAAACAACCTCTTGTACACAGGGAGAGGCTCGTTTGTAAGAAGGCCCCGCCGAAACCCGACTCCGTTTCGGCCAGCCAAGCCAAGATCGGAGCCCGGAGGCGGAAAATAACGGCGCCGGGGAGTGGGGTGGGGCAGCAAAGGGAGAACTTCCTTACCTTTCACAACACAGAGCGCGGTTGCTGCCCACAGGAGAGGACACAGGTGACATATCCAAACAGTCATATTCGGTATTGAATACTGAATATCGGAAGTAAAAGTGGGTGAAGTGACCAAACAAACGGGTCGTCTCTTCCTCTTTGCCCGATCGTCCAGGAAATGTTGCGTATGAAATATTATTCTGCGCCTCTTTGAACTTTACTAGTCCTCTGTAGACCACAGTAGAGAGCGAAGATCAGCGGAGAGCAGCCCCAACCTGCTCAAAGAGCAATCTGCCCGGTTTGTTAACTCTTCTCAATTTGCCGGATGGTATGACATTTCCTAAACGCCGCAGCCGTTGCTCCTCTCCTCTCCCCTCGCTTGCTCATTCAATTTATAATGAATGTTTCATTTAACAACATTAAGCTCATGCAAAGAAGATCTCCGTAGTAGCAATCCAACAAACCAGTACAGAGAAAACCTAACATTCTAATACCTATGTAGCTCCAGGTACAATTTATTCACAGAACCCATACTGACCCACACCAAGGCTCATGCAAGGGAACAGCCCACGGTTCAGAGTCTATGACAGCTCCTCAAGTACTGGAAGACACCTTTCATGTCCTCCCTAATCCTCTTTGGTAGGCAAGACACATCCAATTCCACAATGGTTCATCATACAATTTAGCCTCTGGACCCCAGAGGTGGCATTCAGCAGGTTCTGATCAGTTCTGGAGAACCGGTAGTGGAAATTTTGAGTAGTTCGGAGAACTGATAAATACACCTCTGACTGGAGATTTTACAGTATCCTTCCCCCGCCACGCCCACCAAGCCACGCCCACAGAACTGGTAGTAAAAAAATTTGAATCCCACCACTGCTAGATCCCTTATCATCTTTGTTGCACACTTTCCAGTTCAGGGGTGTTAAACTCACGTCATCACAGCAGCATCATGTGACATATTGGAACTTTTTTCCCCTTCACTAAACCGGGCATGGGCGTGGACAGCACATGACACATCTGGCCCGCAGCCCGGGAGTTTGACAGCCCTGTTCTAGGGGCTCAGCATCTTTTTTGTTTTGTGGTGACCAAAAGCAGTATTCCAAGTCTGACCTCACTGGTGCAATATAAAGCTTGTGATCTTGATGCTATCCCTTGTTTGTTTGTTTTAGATCATTTATAAAGCCACCTACTCGCTCACAGTGACTCTAGGTGGCTTACAGATAATAAATCTGTTAATGCACCGGCCTTCTTGGCAGTAGCAGCACACAGCTAGCTCATACTTATGTTGCGGTCTGTTAGAACACCTAGATCCTTCTCACAGTTAATACTGTTGAGCCAGTCTGAACCAACTTGATATGACTTTGAAGGTACCGTTTTATTATTTTTATTTCAATTCTTAGGTGATCTGATGGATATAAAGGTAGGATATAAATCATGACAATCAATGAATGAACAAATAATGTCCTATTGAAATGGGTGATGAATGTGGAGTAATTATCTGTATCAATTGTTAATTATACCCACCATTCAAAGCATCCAAGACCTACAAGGCTTAGTAGACCAGCGAAATACTGTGGACATAATATACTTAGGCTTCAGCAAGGCATTTGACAAAGTAGACCACCACCTACTTCTTGGTAAGCTAGAAAAAAAGTGGAATAGACAGCACCACCACTAGATGGACTCGCAACTGGCTGGCAAACTGCATTCAACAAGTAGTTCTTAATGGGTCTAAGTCTACAATGAGGGAAGTAAGCAGTGGGGTGCCACAAGGTTCCCTCTTAGGCCCAGTACTCTTCAATATCTTCATTAACAACTTAAATGAGGGAATAGAAGGGGAACTTACCAAATTTGCAGATGATACTAAGCTGGCAGGAATAGCTAACACCCTAGATTAGTGATGGCTAACCTTTTCGTTGTTGCATGCCGAAAGTGCGCATGTGCACTTACACACGCGCACATGCCTGCACCCATAATGCAATGCACGTGCAACCCCCCAACCCCTGCGCATGCACGCATGACACCCCCATGTGCGGTGCACAGCTCTGCGCATGCACGTGCACCTCCCACCCACCCCCTGCACATGCACGGCAGATACCCAACAATCAGCTGGCTGGTGGGAGGTGCGCGCACATGCGCAGTGGATCTGTTTCGGGCGACGGCTCATGTGCCGGCAGAAATGGCTCTGCATGCCACTTCTGGCACATGTGCCATAGGTTCAATATCATGGCCCTAGATGATAGGCTCTAGATCCAGATGGATCTTGACAGACTAGAACACTGGGCCATACGTAACAAAATGAAATTCAGTGTAGAGAAAGGTAAAGTTCTACACTTAGGCAAGAAAAATCAAAAGTACCCATATAGACTGGGTGAAACCAGGCTCAATAGCAGTAACTGTGAGAGGGATCTTGGAGTCTTAGTGGACAACCAGCTAAATATGAGCCAGCAGTGTGCAGCAGCAGCCAAAAAATCTAATGCAATCCTAAGTTGCATTAACAGAGGGATGCAATCAAGATCAAGTGAGGTACTGTTACCACACTATAAAGCCTTAGTAAGACCACCCCTAGAATACTACATCCAGTTTTGGTCACCACACTATAAAAAAGATGTTGAGATTCTAGAAAGAGTGCAGTGAAGAGTGACCAAGATGATTAGGGGACTGGAGACTAAAATATATGATGAATGGTTGCATGAACTGGGCATGGCTAGTCTAGTGAAGAGAAGGGCCAGGGGACACATGATAGCAGTGTTCCAATATTTGAGGGGCTCCACAGAGAGGAGAGGTTCAAGCTATTTTCCAAAGCACCTGAAGGCCAGACAAGAAATAATGGATGGAAACTGAATAAAGAGAGGTTCAACTTGGAAATAAGGAAAACATTTCTGACAGTGAGAGCAATGAACTAATGGAACAGCTTGCATTCGGAAGTTGTGGGAGTTTCATCACTGGAAACTTTCAAGAATAGACTGGACTGCATTCTGTTAAAAATGGCGTAGGGTCTGCTTAGACGGGGGTTTGGACTAGACGACCTACAAGGTCTCTTCCAACTGTGTTAATCTGTGTCTTAGCCTTCTCCCAAACTCCAAAAAACCAATTCCCCCTTCCCCATTAATCTCTTGTACTCTAGCAACTACAAAGGGAATGCAGTAGAACTGTGTATCCAGACAACATTCTTTACACCAACTGACCTAAACCCATAACCTTGGTTTCAGATCTCCAATCAATTGCCAGTCATCCCTGTCTTTGAAGAGGAGATGGTAAATAGTACTTTGATACTTTGCCCAGATGGTTATGAGGCTTGGATTCATCCGTGTTTGTCCAGCAAACTAAACAGAGAGCTATTGAAAAGAAACCATTCTTGAAAACAAAAGAGAAAACAGGGCTTGTAACTCCTCCTCCTAGCATATTCCTGCAATTGAATACATTCTCTTTCCACAAATGGTATTGCAGGCAAAGAAAGATGAACATCCCAATTCTTCTCTCATCCCAAAATCTAAGAGCATCTGGATAATTGACCACATTTAAAAAAAATAAACAAGAAGAAGGACTGGAATTCATACACTGTTTCATTTACTTTGGATTTCATCATCCACTAAAAAGTCCTGCAAGAATGAATATGAATCTCAGAAGATGGCTGGCCTTAGTACTCATGGTACAACTGCTTTTCATCTTCGCAGGTAAGGAAATTATGGGTGATAGTTAAGTAGAGGGTCAACTTATTCAGATGGCAAGCACCATTTTTTAAACAAAATTATAAAAAGCTCTGAGCAATTTCAAATTTAACATATATTTGGGTAAATTGGTGAAAAGCTTAGATGAAAAGATTATGTAAAAGCAAGTCTGGCTGAAGAAAGAAAAAACATTGCTCTGATAAAAGTAACTACTGTACTGCTTTTCAAATAGTTTTTGGGAAGTTGCTCACTACAGTCCTGAACAAATGTAATAACTGTTAGATAATAATGTTGTTATGGAGCCATACCTGGAAAGAAGCAGAAATCATTAGAAAGCTTTTGCAATGGAAGGATGCAAGAAGATGGATTCCTGACAATGAATGTATCAAATCTCTTTTCTTAAAAGCTTTGCCAGTGAGGTGGCCACTTTTATTGACGACAGCTAATGATTCAGGGTGTCAAAAAACAAAAAGGGATGAGGCAAGAAATTCCAAATTCTGTAAAGTGGATGAACTTTAATAAACAGCAAAAGCCTCTAAAATCAAGGACACAGAAATAAGATTGGACAACACTCCATCACACATACAGTACAAGCCATGCACACACTTTTTGCAAAATTCTTCATAGAGGACCATGAAATATTTGGGACAGCAAAACTCAGAATATTCTAATTTGCAGGACACACTGTGGCAGAGAGAAATGTATGCAAAAGGAACAATATTTGGGGGCTTTTAGTTATATGGATTCAATTCTCTTTTTAATAGAGGAATAGAAACAAATGAAAATGAACATTCTTTTCTCTCAGTTTTAATGTTATGGTAACAACTTATCTTTCAAATAATAAAACAGAAACAGATATAAGTAATAGTGATAGGTTTCATATTCATGAGAACTAATTAGATGTGAACTTATGAAAGGGTATATTTTAAAGCAGGGGTGTCAAACTCACGTCATCACGGCTGTGTTACATGACTTTTTTCAGGACTTTTTTCTCCTTCGCTAAACTGGGTTTGGGTGTGGCCAGGGCATGACACATCCAGCCCATGGGCTGTGAGTTTGACAACCCTGTTTTAAACATTTAAACCAGTCTTACAAGGATTTGAATTAATAGCTTTCTGCACTTACATTGAGGATACTAATTGGAAAAAAGATAAACGTGTCTATTTACTTTTGAGGGTCATTCATTCATTCTACATACATGTATGCATACATACATGCATACATATCATGCCTTCAGTTGTGGCTCAGTTCATCAGTATCTCCAGATGCTGATGAACAAAGGTAATTCTCCTAAGACTACTAAGGCCTGATAGCCATGAATGCAATTACCCACTTGGGAAAGAGGCATTAAATGTTTCAATTGTAAGATTACTTTCAGTACTTTCAATGTGAATGCTAGTATTTTGACAGTCATCTGAGCTTAGAAATTATTCACTCAGCAAAAGCTGGATTCATGTGAGGATCTGAACAATTGTATAAGAAAAATTGAGGGTCTCAAGAAAGAAAATTTTAGTTAACTTAATTTCTAAGGTTACAGTTTTAGGAATTATCCTGATAAACTTTACCTTCTCATTATTCTCCAGTCTATCATGCTAAATTAAGTGGAATATAGCTTCTTTCTTTTTTCTTTTTTGGCCTTGTAGAACAAATAAACTAGAGATAAACTTTTATAGAATCAGAGAAACATAATAAGGATGATCAGGAATAGAAACTAAATCCTGAAAGAAGAGAAAGAAGGAACTGAGAATGTTCAATAACGTTGACAGAAGAACAATTTACCCAAAGAAGTTGTGGGTGCCTCATCATTAAATGTTTTCCTGTGGAGGTTAAATTATTGGGGTTACTTTAATTTGAATTCCTGTACTGAGTAGAGACTTAGATTTGATATGCTAAATGGCCCATTCAACTCTATGATTCTAATCCTTGTTCTTGGTTGTCCTTTACATAATCAGCCAATGTATGTTTTTCTTCTTTCACTCTTTATGTGACTTGAAGTAAACCTCTGTGCCTATTTCTGCTGGGCATGCATAATCTATCAATATCACTATAGGGATATAATTCATAGTGATAGTCATTGTTGTTCTTGCTTTTTTGCTACAAACTATCCAGTTCAGCTTGTGTTCAGTTAATAATCCATCAATTTATTATATCACAGGTATGGCCCAGCTTTGATTGCATTTCCATTGTTCAACTTAGTCTTTAAGCAGTTCTTTCACTCTTTGGATGTAATCTTTACCAATCAACCTTTTAATTTGTCCGTGCTTGGCTGTTATCCAACTGTAAAATGCCCAGATACCCGTAGGCTTCATCCTGATGGAGGCTGTGAGTTTGAACCCAGGTAGAGGCTAATATTTGCTCCCGCTTGAGCAGGGTGTTGAACTAGATGACCTCCAAGGTCCCTTCCAACTCTGTTATTCTATGTTCTATGATGGTTTCTAATGTTTAGCCATTCAGCATTTCAATTCCATTTACCCCAATTTATTGCTACTGTAGGTACATTTCTCTAGGCCAAATTCCATTGCTATATCTGTGCTAAAAATCTTATAGTGTTCGTCAATGGCTGGATTTCACTTCTGATTTTCTGTAAAGCTTCTGATCATCCATATACAGAACATGTGAGATTTTATTAGCATTTTTTGCTGTTTGATAGTCAAGATTTGTTTTCTTCAAAATCACTGAAACTGGAATCATAACTGTGACAAATAATAAGGATTTAAATGAGTTTCCTTGGAAGATGCCTCTCCTAATGTTGACATATTATTATTATTATTATTATTATTATTATTATTATTATTATTATTATTATTATTATTATTATTATTATTATTATTATTATTATTATTGTTATTATTAATGTTTATTATTGTTATTGCTACATTTCAGAGACTAAAAATACTATGAAAAATCAAGAATGTGCTGAGTTTCAATCTGCACATTTACTATGGGGTACAAATCTCCAAGTTCGATTTCTTCTGTTTCCCTTTTCCAATCCCAGCTGTGGACAGCTGCTTTCACAACAGGAGGACATCCAGGAGGTTGGATTCAATGCCAGCTTGGGAACTAAAATAATCATTCATGGTTTCAGGTACAAACATTCAAAAATAAACATACGCCCTCCACATTATGTGTAATTGTATGTGGGGATGATGTTGGGAGAGAGGAGAAAGAGCCGCAGCCTAGACAACCGTCATGCCAAAGGCATCTCAGACCACAGAAAGAAAGGGGGACATAAGAAGCATTTCAGAAAGGGCCCTCCCTAGTTTTCTGGAAAGTAACTGTGAAGGAGGGAAGAAGTGCTTTCAGACTTGCTAGACACTGTTATTGTAAACTTACAATAAAGGTTGTGTTAATATTCATGGTTTGAGTTTCTTGTCTGGACTACCTTGAAGAGCTGACATTATGGGTTTGATAATTGGGATTGCTTTAACAATGAAAAGTAATCTGTATAATCTATTAAAGTATATCTATTAATATACTGTACATACATTAGAGAATAGAGCCACTAGATTGATTATTAATGACTGACTCTCCAACGTCAGTGTGCTGCTAAATGCTTAAGAACTGGCTCTCTTGCCTCCATTTTCCTGGCACTGCACTGCTAGCTAAGTCCTACTAGTTGGACCATTCTTTGTAGCTACACATGTCATTCTTGTGAGCTTTTGCCTACAGCTTCCCCTCACACTGAAAGCATAGTTTTCCATCATTCTCTCTGAACCCTGGAAGCTGTGCCCACCCCCCATTATCTTTTGCACATCTCTTCCCTCAAACCTCCCACACCCTGTGAAGGAAAGAAGAATCTGAGTTGGAAGATATTTTGGACTTAATGCAGGAGGGGCAGGCTGGAATATTTCATTTGCTGAAAATGATACCCAGTTACTGGCCATTTTGAGAAGTTACCAGATGGTGCTCATGCAGCTCCTGTTCTTCATCGGCATTCACTTCTACTGCAGTTCCCACTCACCTGTCAGCAGTTCTGACTTCTTTATCGACAGGGGAGGGAGAATTTTGTATGACTAATGAGAAGCAGAAATTGCTACATTTGAAGATGGTGGGAGAGTTCTGGAATGGAGAGGGTTCCTCATAACAGAAGTAGAAGAGATTAAAACATTTGCATTACCTGCTGATAAGTGACAGAAGGAGCAATGGATAGAGATGCATGAAATAATGAAAATTCTGACTGGTGGGAAAAATAGAAACGGAAGGAGGAACATCTGGCACTTCCAGACCCATAAGAGGAAGAGAAGAAGAAGAATATAAAAAAGGATGTTCTCCAAGAGATGAATGAAATGTCGTCAGGAAGGAACCAGTGGTTCCTAGGCTAGACAGCTTTTATGTCAACACAAAGCAGCCAACAAGGTATCCACTGAATAGTGAAAGAGGAAGGAAAAACTCTAGAATCTTAATCCTAGGCACAGGTGTGACCCTTGACTTCTGTATACTGCAGTTGACAAATCTCTGTATACAGTATATGGCTTCATTATTATCTAGTAAAGAGACAAATCTTGGTTATGAACATGCTGTTGAATAAGCCAAATTTTGAAAAAGAACTTACGTTTCCAGGAAGCTGAGATATCTGCTTTGAATACAGCTTGAGCCATTAGCTTTACTGTAAATTGAGGGTCTCATGATTTGTTGGATATTAAACCTTGCAAATTAGGCTTCACCCTTTATTTATAAATGGAAATGCCCTCACACATTATCTTGCTTGTATTTCTCTTTAGGGCACTAGGCACCAAACCGTCATGGATAAATGCACTGATTCAAGCCTTCCTAGAGGTAGCCAAAGTCAATGTGATTGCTGTAGACTGGGTTCAGGGAGCCACAGCAGCCTATCCTACTGCAGTGGAAAATGTTATGACATTGGGACTGGAAATTTCTAGTTTTATCCGCAAGTTACTGGTAAGTAGAACACCCTGAAAAACTACTGGATCCAATGTAGTCCAGAGAAAACCAAGAACCAATTGATTAGATTGTTGGGGGGGGTATCTGTGTGTTTTGAGGGCATTTTAATTATTATTTTTCCCAAACTTCAGGCTATGGGGGTGCCAGAGTCATCCATCCACCTTATTGGGGTGAGCCTTGGAGCACATGTTGGGGGCCTGGTGGGCCAATTCTATGAAGGCCACCTTGGAAGAATTACTGGTAAGGAAAGCAGCAAGGTGAAAATATGTTATATGGTTTATGACATTTTTCTTAATATACTGATATTTGAAGAGTGCTTAATTTAGCTCTTAACTAATTATATTTTGGGGCACAATGGTTCATTGGTTAAAGACACCGAGATTGCCAGCTGGTAAGCTGATAGCCTGGGTTTGAGACCCAAGGTCCATGTGACAGGGTGAGCTCCTGTTACTTGTCCCAGCTCCTGCCCACCTAGCAGTTCAAAAGCATGCAAATGCAAGTAGAAAAATAGGTACCACTTTGGTAGGAAGGTAACAGCATTCTGTGCGCCTTGGCATACAGTCATGCTGACCACATGACTATGGAAATGTTTTTGGACAAAGGTGTCTCACTTGGCTAAGAAAAAGAGATGAGCACCCCCCTCTGAGTCAGACACAACTGGAAAGGGGAAACCTTTACCTTTAATTATATGTTATTAATGTTGTATTGCTAACATCTTATTTCTCTTTAGTTCTCTTTTAGTATTTTAAAGATTCATTGCACTTAAATGTTTTTATGCATTTCATCCATCTATTTCCTTAGTTCTTTTTTGTTGTTAATTTCTTGGTATTTTATTATTTTAGCTTTGTATAAAGATTGGTCAGTAACTGTAATAAATTTGAACAATTTAACATATGCATTTAATAACAAAAAGTAGCACATTTTTCTTATAAATTAATTTACATAAAATTAAAAATTATTACTCTGTGGTAAATAAGGGTATGGCTGAGCCTTTGGTTAGGATGATTATAGGCTATGGTACTTTGAAACAAGAATGTCCAAACATTAGGCCAATGTGAAGCCACAAGATCTACGGTGCCAAAACTGTGATGTAATATGTCTTTAAATTTGTTACATGTTTTACTTTATTCTTGCATATCTAAAAACCCTTATGGATTTAGTATCTTCCCTCATGAGAGTTTGATGAATAGTGTATTGTCCTGTTTCCCTTATTCAACTTTGTAGAAATGTAGATTGTGTCAAGGCAATCAGAACTCTGACACTTGGCTCTTTCTCAAAGGTCTTCTCTAATGGGTACATCATATCAACACAGCTTCAAAGGAAAGACAAATCTAAATCTTTTCTGTTGTTTCAGTATAATTAAACTAGGAAATAATCCCATCCTCAAGAGTCACAGGTCATGTTGGCCAATTAAGTTACTTCAGGCACTTCTCTCCCATCCTTATCAGTTGCCTGTGGAGATGACCTCGGTTCTGAGAAGAAAGCTCTTTGTTGTTTCTAGTAATGCATTCCAACCTTCTTCCCACCCCGCAACTGAGGAACAGAGAGATGGTTGAGGCCAGGATCAGTCTGAAGTTGACAGTTTGTTTAATGTAATTCAACATCATATTGGAGATTATCCTAAGGTGATCAAGGCTTTGTCCCAAAAGTGAGTTGGCAACGCTCACTTACAATAGTCCAGAATATTGGATTTTTAATGATAAAGTAGATTTGTGGCATGCAAGGACCAAGGTCCATGTAAACCAATTAAGAGAATAGTCTTAGAGAAAGAAGTCAACAGAGGGAGAGACTGAACCATACAATGGAGTTTGGGAGATCCTCAGCCTAGATTAGGGATGAAAAATAGGAAGGAACAGTGAAACCTTCCCCAGCCTCTAGTCTGACTCTTAGAATTAGTACCCCCAGTAGGCAGGTGGTACCATCTTTGTAATTTCTGAGAGATTAAAATAGCATGTCAATGGCCCATAATGAAGCAGGCAGCATATTTGGCATGCTGGTCTGACTGGAATTGCTTTGAGAGCTTATCCTTCTAGCTGAGGGGTGGCGGTGAGAAACATGAATAGATGTAAAAAATGTGATTCTGGACCCAGTGTGAAATAATGAGGCATGCTCAGAAAATATTCCTATGAAGAGTTAGAGAATTGAAAGCCATATTGTGGGATTTAGGAATCAACTGACTGCAACCTGATGTAAAAAAAACCAGAGGAGATAGTAAAAATAGTTTTTGAATAGTTTCAAAAATATATGGAATATATAAACATACTAGCTTACTTTTCTGAAAAATTTGACCTAATATGGAATATCTCCTGAAAATGTTGATGGAGGGGCTACCCATAATTCTTCCCCCACCCTTTTTTTTTGATGAAGAGGCAAGAGTTTATTATTATTGTTGATGTTGTTGTTATTCTTAGTGCAAGTTTTGTGGCAGTTGAAAGTGGGGGAACTTTGAGTCAGAGTATGCAAATTCTACTTTGGGTGAATTGGAGGGAAAACTGACTAACTCATTGCAAAACTTGCATGGACGGAAGGCATGAAGAGAATGAAACCTGTGCCCTGTTGAAGTGTCAACTATTTGTATTAACAACACTTTCAGAAGTAAAGAACAACTCAGAGAAATATTTCTAGCAGAAAACCTGCATTAGGCTCCAAGCTGGTTCTGAACTAAGGTCCTGCATTTTTTTTTTCAAAATAAAGAGATTGTGCATATTTATACACTGCTCAAAAAAATAAAGGGAACACAAAAATAAGACATCCTAGATCTGAATGAATGAAATATTCTTATTAAATACTTTGTTCATTACCTAGTTGAATGTGCTGACAATGAAGTCACACAAAAATTATCAATGGAAATCAAATTTAGCAACCCCTGGAGGTCTGGATGTGAAGTTACACTCAAAATTAAAGTGGAAAAAAACACTACAGGCTGATCCAACTTTGATGTAATGTCCTTAAAACAAGTCAAAATGAGGTTCAGTAGTGTGTGTGGCCTCCACGTGCCTGTATGTCCTCCCTACACCGCCTGGGCATTCTCCTGATGAGGTGGCGGATGGTCTCCTGAGGGATCTCCTCCCACACCTGGACTAAAGCATCCCCCAACTCCTGGACAGTCTGTGGTGCAACGTGGCATTGGTGGATGGAGCGAGACATGATGTCCCAGATGTGCTCAATTGGATTCAGGTCTGGGGAACAGGTGGGCCAGTCCATAGCATCAATGCCTTTGTCTTGCAGGAACTGCTGATGTCATGTGACTTCAGCCACATGAGGTCTAGCATTGTCTTGCATTAGGAGGAACCCAGGGCCAACCGCACCAGGATATGGTATCACAAGGGGTCTGAGGATCTCATCTTGGTACTTAATGGCAGTCAGGCTACCTCTGGCGAGCACATGGAGGGCTGTGCAGCCCCCTAAAGAAATGCCACCCCACACCATTACTGAGCCACTGCCAAACTGGTCATGCTGGAGGATGTTGCAGGCAGCAGAACATTTTCCACGGTGTCTTCAGACCCTGTCACATCTGTCACATATGCTCAGTGTGAACCTGCTTTCATCTGTGAAGAGCACAGGGCGCCAGTGGCGAATTTGCCAATCTTGGTGTTCTCTGGCAAATGCCAAATGTCCTGCATGGTGTTGGGCTGTAAGCACAACCCCAACCTGTGGACGTCGGGCCCTCATACCACCCTCATGGAGTCTGTTTCTGACCATTTGAGCAGCCACATGCACATTTGTGGCCTGCTGGAGGTCATTTTGCAGTGCTACCTAAGTGGACAGTTTGATTTCACAGAAATGTGATTGACTTGGAGTTACACTGTATTGTTTAAGTGTTCCCTTTATTTTTGTGAGCAGTGTCATACAGATTTTGTTCCTTTTAGATTTTTCAATGAATTGTGCCAACTTGCTCTATACTGTAGCTTTGATCAACCTTCTGTTAGGCTATCATGCTGACAAAACATCTCGTTGGTTTTGCAAAAGATGTAAACAGTTCCCAATAATTATAGATGTAGAGGTTTAGCAATAGTATTGAGTAAAGCTCCTATAAATAAGGGACATTTCTTTTTTTTTAAACATTTTATTGAAATAAATGTTTTCATTGTGATTTGAGCTGATTCTTAATCCCATCTCTCAAAGCTTTCTACAAACAAAATAATAGTAATAGCAATATGGAAAGGATGATTATGATGATTGAAGAATTTAGTTTTGTTTTTGTTTCTTGTGAAAAATGCCACAAGTTCAATTCTGTCTCAACAATTCAGGCGCTGCCTTCTGAATCACAAATGGTCCATTTCAGGTGACCCACAATCACTTGCTGTCCTCCAAATTCATCCAATGAAAAGTGTAACTGGTTGCCACTTTTTGTTCCTCATGTTTCAGCTCTGGATCCAGCCGGGCCAAAATACACAAGAGCCAGCCCTGAGGAGCGTCTGGATCCTGGGGATGCTCTCTTTGTAGAAGCCATTCACACAGATTCGGATAGTAAGCTAATGACCTGCTTTCCAATCATATTTCAGTTTTATTTCTTTTTAAGGACAATAACATTTCTAAAATTGTTTTTGTTGTATATATTTGCATACTCGTAATACTGCATTCTGATTAGTCCGCCAATGCCGCCTATTGATTGGTCCATACTGAATACTTTAATACTGTTATAATTGGTCTGCCTGACGGCAGGAAGTTTAAGAAGCTGTCATTGGCCGTGAGCTGTGAGCAGCCACTATAAAAGAGGCTGCTGCGGCTCCGGTTTTGTTGAAGTTACTGAGAGCAAATAAAGAGCTGAATTCACACTGGTCTCGAGTCAGATCTTTTCCCGCGACAGAACACTGGCGACGAGGATGGGATACTGAGACAAGGAGACCAGTTGAGCACATGGCAACGAGAACCGAGCAACCGACGAAATGGCCGGTAACAACTCGCCACCCGCACCGTTCAACCCAACAGAAGAGGACTGGGAATTGTACATCGACAGATTCCTCATGTTCCTCGAGAGCAACGAGCTACAGGGGATAACCGATCAAAGGAAGAGAGCCGTGTTCCTGACGCACTGTGGGCCCACAGTCTTCAAAATGGCCAAGGCATTGGCCAAACCCCAGGACATTAAGCAGATGGCATGGCCAGATTTGAACTGGCTACTGAGAGCCCATTAGGCTCCAGCTGTCTCCAGCCTTATCTGGAGACACGAATTCTACAAACGAGATCAATGAGAAGGTGAGAGCATAGGGGATTTCGTGGCGGCTCTAAGGGACATTGGAGGGGCGTGCGACTTTCTCAACATGGACGAAGCCATGAGAGATCGCGTGGTCCTCGGACTAAAATACCTTACCCTACAAAGCCGACTGCTGACCCGACCCAATATCACTGTGACCGAGGCCATCACTGAAGCCACTGCCGCTGAAGCAGCGAAAAAATCAGCAGCCACCAGGCGACAAATGAATACAGCTACCCAAGAAACTCAGAGCGACCCGAGCCAAGCCCGAGACAAGAAACCAGAAGGCACTCAGAAGCCCACCACCACAACCACCCACCATGAGGACATCTATTCCTCGCCCGACACCGATGACGAGGAAGAAGAAATACATAAACTCCAGTTGGAACGGAATCAGCGAGGAAAGAGGGAGAGGAAATCGGACTTCCATTGTGCCGGATGCGGAGGAGACCACCCACGTTCCGAGTGCTGTTTCCTCGATGCCGTTTGCAGACACTGCGATTGACGGGGGCACATCGCTAGAGTCTGCCGGAACAGAAAGAACTACAGCCCTAAAAGACGAGGGAGCACCCCCCCCCCCCAGAACCAGAGAGAGACAGACCGGGAGTCGTTGGAGCTGAGAAAACAGAAGTAAGTGGCTCAACGAGAAGGAGGAAACACACCAAACAATCATCATTGGCCATTCAAGTGCAACCGATGCAAGAAAGGTACGCATCAACGTTAACATAGAAGGACAGCCATGCGAGATGGAGGTGGATTCCGGCTCATATCTATCCATGGTATCATGGAATACCATAAAGAACTTGATACCAGACATACAAAGAAAAGAACTAGAAAAGCAAAACCTGACCCTGAAAGACTACCAGGGAAACAGGATCCCTGTAGTTGGACTTGGACATTTCAAAGTCAAGTTCAAGAGACATACTGAAATCCTCCCATTAACGATCGTCGACCGGGATCGCCCTAGCCTCCTTGGACTCGAATGGTTTGCACCCCTGGGAATCGTAGTGACTGGAATTAACAGCGTCACCGAGACAGACTGGGAGGAGAGCCTGATGAAGGAGTTCCTGGACGTATTCGACGGGAAGCTAGGCAAGTACCGAGGGACCCCTATATCATTTAATTTGAATCCTAACATAGCACCAATCAGGCTAAAAGCCAGACGAGTCCCCTTCACATTAAAACCGAAAATCGATGAGCAATTGAATAAACTCATCGCACAGGGGGTGTTGGAACCCATCGATCATGCAAGATGGGAAACTCCAATTGTGACTCCCGTTAAGCCAGATGGGTCCGTGCGCATCTGCGGAGACTATAAGGCCACCCTCAACCACGCGCTACAACAAAGCGGTAGTCCAGCACCTTTTACATTCATTAGGGGGAGGAAAAGTTTTCGTGAAGCTTGACCTTGCGCAAGCGTATCAACAATTGCCAGTCGACCGCGAGACAGCAGAGGCACAGACAATTGTGACGCATAGGGGGGCATTCAAATGCAAAGGACTACAATTTGGAGTCAGCGTGGCCCCAGGCGTTTTCCAAAGCCTGATGGAGCGCCTTTTGAAAGGACTCAAGGGGGTGGTCCCTTATTTTGATAATGTATTGGTATCTGCCAGGGACAAAAAGCAACTGAAAGACCGGCTGAGGGAAGTCTTGCGAAGATTTAGAGAAGCGGGACTCAAAGTCAAAAGAGAAAAATGCCAGCTAGCCACCAATCAGGTTGAGTTCCTGGGATACCTCATAGATGAAGAAGGGATCCACCCCACCGGGAAAAAAAAGAGCTATCAAAGAAGCGCCCAGACCCAAAAATAAAGCAGACTTACAGGCATTTTGGGGACTCATTAACTTTTACAATGTCTTTTTGCCACAGAAGGCAACGATAGCAGAACCATTGCACTGATTACTGGATAAGAAAGCTACCAGGACCTGGGGCCGATGAGAGGAAGCCGCATTCCAGGGAGTTAAAGACTTATTGACATCCGAATCTGTGTTAATTCAATACAGCAACACCCTGCCACTAATAGTCACCTGCGATGCATCGCCTTTCGGCGTCGGCACCATACTCAGCCACACCTTACCCAATGGCAGAGAAGCACCAATCGCCTTCTACTCCAAAACACTGTCAAAAGCTGAAAGAAACTACAGCCAACTGGACAGAGAAGCCCTAGCCGCAATTACGGGGGTCAAACGATTTCACGAATATCTTTACAGTAGAACATTCTTTTTAATTACAGACCACAAGCCACTATTGGGAATACTCGCGGGGAACAGGGCCACTCCCAACATCCTGTCACCATGGATGACACGGTGGTCAGAGTTCCTCGCCGCATACAGTTACAAGTTAATCCACAGGCCAGGAAAGGACATACCCCATGCGGACGCCCTGAGCCGTTCACCCCTACCGGAACTGGAAGACGACCTGGCACCTACCACGTCCACTCTACAAATTGAGACATTACCGAACCTTCCCATCACCGCATCACACATCGCGAAAGAAACCGCAAAAGACACACAGATGGCACGGATTTTAAACTGGGTAGGTAAGGGTTGGCCGGAAACCGATAATGACAAAACTTTTAGACCCTTTCGTAACCGTCAAACTGAACTCTCGATTTTGAAGGGATGTATACTGTGGAGGGATAGGGTTATCAGTCTGGAAAGACTACAGGAAAAAGTACTGTGTATGTTACATGAAGGACACCCGGGTATCGTAAAAATGAAATCCCTGGCCAGGAGTTACGTCTGGTGGCCAGGGATGGACATGGACATTGAGACATGGGTGGGAACATGCACTAAATGCCAAAAGTCCAGACCTAACCCCCCTCCTGCACCTATCCTCGACTGGGAGACACCCAGGGGCCCCTGGTCGAGAATCCACATAGATTTCGCAGGACCCACAAAAGGATATACATTTTTAATAATTGTCGATGCTTACTCCAATTGGCTGGAGATCAACGTCATGCATTCCACGACGACAGAAGCCGTTATCAAACAGTTAAGAAAATTATTCACAACGCATGGATTACTGGACCTATTATTCTCAGACAACGGGCCACAGTTCACAGCGTTGTCATTTGAAAAATTCCTCGCCGAACAGGGCATACGGCATGCCCTAACAGCTCCCGCTCACCCGGCTACAAACGGACGAGCGGAACGCATGGTTCAGTATACCAAAGAGGCATTAGATAAACTAGACACAGGTGACATCCAAGACAAAATCAATAAAATGCTAACCATCCAACATATAACACCGAACACCTCGACTAACAAGAGCCCAGCAGAACTCCTGATGGGCAGGAAACTACGGTCGCACCTGGATAGATTACACCCCACATACAACCCTGAAAAGCCACCAGACTCCTCCAGTAAGTACCGCACATTTACAACAGAGGATCTGGTATACGCCAAAAACCTTACGGGGGACCCACTTTGGATAGCAGCTAGGATAACCCAAATAACGGGACCCCGGTCATACCGAATAGAAACGGAGGATGGAAGAAGCTGGAAGAGACACATAGACCAACTAAGGTCTAGAACAATAGAAAGAAACACCGACAACCCTAGGAACATAGAACATCCGCACACACAAGTACCACACCAAACAGACTATAATAAAACCAGAGAGGGGGGAGATGCCTCAAACGCTAATAAAAGGGGAGGGGGAGACCCTCCACTAACATGACAAAAAACAAATCACCAACCAACACCACCAAGAAACCAAAACTACTTACCTGCAGGCGACTTCGGAAGAAGGGAGCTGGCAGTGGAAAACCAACACGAAGCCACTCCTGGAAGAAGCAGCCGAGCTGACTCAACCAGCCCGGGTAGACCAGGCAGGAGCGGCAGAGCCGACTCAACCAGCCCGGGTAGACCGGGTGGGAGCGGCATGGCTGACTCACCCTTCCAGGAGGTTCCACGGAGAAGGACAGGAGAGACAGCGATCCCATCCGAACCAGCCGAAGACAACACTGCAACTGAATTGCGCAGGTCAAGTAGGAACCATAAAAGCCCCACCTACTTACGTGACTACGTAACGTAGGTTGGACCAAACCAAGTGGGAAGGGGTGTTGTATATATTTGCATACTCGTAATACTGCATTCTGATTGGTCCGCCAATGCCGCCTATTGATTGGTCCATACTGAATACTTGAATACTGTTATAATTGGTCCGCCTGACGGCGGGAAGTTTAAGAAGCTGTCATTGACCGTGAGCCGCGAGCAGCCGCTATAAAAGAGGCTGCCGCGGCTCCGGTTTCGTTGAAGTTACTGAGAGCAAATAAAGAGCTGAATTCACACTGGTCTCGAGTCAGATCTTTTCCCACGACAGAACAGTTTTTGTATCCTTGGAAATCATTGTTTGCTATTAATTTCCACTTTTTAAGATGTGGTGATAATCACAAATAATAGATGTTGTTTGTCTGTCCTAGCTACTCATCTTACTTACTGTCTCATCTTACTTTTTCTGATGGGGTGACTTTGGGTTTATGGACCAACAATTCCAGGGTAATACTGGACTACCTTGAACTCTGAATGGGGTTGAACTCTCTCTCACACACAAGTGGTATGCACTCTGGGCAGCCTTCTGCTCTTTCTCAAGCAGCAGTTGGTTTTCTGGCTCAAGGGGCTTTTTTGTACAATTACATTTTGGGTGTTAATTGTAATTATTCCAGAACTGGGAATTATTGCTCATAGTCACTCATGGCCTAGTCACCTCCTGCTCAGATTATTGTCAATGTTGCACAAATGGGCTGGCTTGAAAAGCATTTGAAATATAAAGCTGGTATCGAATGCAATGGTCTGGGCTGTGATGGAGTATCTGGTTACCCATGGGTAACCCATTGCTTTCGGACTGCACTTATTGCCAATCAGCTTCTGGTCCATTAAGGATCCAGATCTTCTCTTCTATGCCTCTGCTCATCTAATCAAATCAAAGAGTATCAAACATCTTCTAAATCCTGCCTGTCTAGGGATGCCATCTGAGAGAACCTTGGAAACAAATGTTCTCAATTGCTGCCCCTAACTTTAGAAATCCACTCTATTCTTTGTCTCCTGGGTTTCAGGAGAACAGTTATGACCTGGTTATTCCATCTATCCCAAAAGGAAGGAATTTTGCAATTGTTGGGGTGACCTAGCACATAAATGGTTTGGGATCATTCCCCCTCATCACTGTGATACTATAGGCATGTTTTACTTTTTTAAAAATTGCAGTCTTTCAAAGTTTAAACTTCTTCATAATGGATTTTACGATTTGCAATTAAAGTTAAACAGTAACTATAATAGTTGTATGCATATTTTGTGTGTTTCAACAGTTGGCTTTCTTTTATTTGCGTGGCCAATATTTGGAACAGAATTAGATGAAATATTCTGGGGAAAAATTATCTTGTGGAAAGATCTGTTTCATGCCTATATGTATCTACATATGTGTGATCAGTGCTTCCAGCTACAGCTTTGCTCCAGATACTTGCATCATTTTTAAAACAATTCTAACACAGATTTCCTTCACCCCTAGATTTTGGTATCCGAATACCCGTGGGGCACATTGATTACTATCTTAATGGAGGAAAAGATCAGCCTGGATGTCCCCGTTTCATATTGTCTGGTAATAATGGTTCTTGAGTGATTATTTGAAGCTGCTTTTCTGTCAAAGCAGTGTACCTTATACAGATACAGTAGATATAATCTCATCAGGGATGACTGTATCAAATGGGGATTAACAGGAGGTTGCCAGAAAGGTTCAGTAAGGGAATTTAATGGGAAATCCCTGATAATTTTTCCTTTTGAGGGTCTTTTCCACTTTCTATCAAACCATAGCACAAACTGAGCAAGCAGCAGTCTCTTTTTTTCTGTGGAGTTCCCGTGTCTATGAGATTTTATTAAGTAGTCTCCAATAATTAAAATAGCTTTTTCTCCCTTCTTCTAATACTGTTCAAGGACAGTTTCAGAGTTTATACAATTTGTTAGACTTTGTCACTCATTATTTTGGAACGAATACAGAAGGCTGCAATAACTGCAGAGGCAATACAGTAGAAGCAATCAGGGTAGCTATCAGCATTGGGACTATTAAAAGTCAGGCTGTTACAATATTCTATTAACTCAAGGATAAGTGGTAAGCAATCCAGCAGTGGGAAAAGGCCCTTAGTCAAGAATTTGTACTTGAATTTAGAAAACTGTGAGCCTAAGAAGGGACAAAGAAAATGCTTTTCTAATGATTTTGGCCTAATAAGATAATGTCAGTATTGCAGTCATGGCCTGCAATGTTTGTGGCTTGGCATATTTGTAGAAAATGCAAGAGCATTTTGGACAGGAGTCATAGGCTCAAATGGAGGCTATACAGCTATCTTTCTGGTATACATGAATTTAGATTCCTGTGCTCAGTAGACTGGTGGACTCAATAGTCTAATCAGTGTTTTTCATCTTCAGCCATTTTAATATGTATGAACTTCAACTGTCAGAATTCTTCAACCAGCATGTTAGGAATTGAAGTTCACACATCTTTAAGTTGCTGAGGTTGAGAAACAAAGTGGTTTGACAATTATCAAAGAAAAATCTGTGCATTGGATAAGACCATAAGGAAGTTTCAATTTCTATTTGTGCTTTAAAATTTCAGCAATTCGAAAAATAAAAATGTATTTTATATACACTATAAATGACATGTTTCGACTTATTTGCTATTCTGTTAGATATAATGCAAATGTATAGTTAAAGCATAAGAACAAATCAATTAAACCTATATTTAGTCCATTAATTGAAATCTTCAGGACTGGTTTAAAAGCTTGGCATCTTCCTGAATTAAAAATCTCTTTCTCTTAAATTTATATTTTAGCTTTTTATTTCACTTTTTTTTAACCAAAATGATTTAGATTTTTAAAAAATGATTAGAAAACCCCTGAATAATCTTTGCTGTTTTTTTTTAAGGCAAGGAAAGGGACATTCATGAATTTGGACCATTTTTAAAGAAAAGATTCCTATAGATTTCCACAGAGAACTATTTAATGTACTGGTTAAGGCATGAGATCAGAAACTCTAAGAACATAAAGCTCAAAATCAACTGGGTGATTTAGGGTCAGTCATTCTCTCATAGCCCTAAAAAGCAGGTAACCCATTTTGGAAAAACCTTGCCATGAAAACTGTACGGATTAATCCAAGAAGTCGCTAGCAGATAAGACAAATCAAAATCACCAACAACCCCCTTCCCCATTGTCAGGCCATTTCCCCCTTTTATTGCTTTTCAATTGTTATGCTAATTAAAAAAAAATTAAATAGTGAAACGGTAATCAGATTGATATTTTGATGGCCAACAAAGAAATTAAGAATAATGAGAAATGGCATCATCCACTAAAATGATGACTGATATGCAGCTTCATACACTCTGTCTCTTTCCCTTTCCAGGCTACCAATACCTGATCTGTGACCATCTGAGGGCTGTGCATTTCTACATCAGTGTCTTGAAAGATTCCTGCCCAATGATGGCTTTCCCTTGTTCTAGTTATAAGAATTTCTTAGCTGGTCACTGTTTAGATTGCTCCAATCCTTTCTTGATCTCCTGTCCCACAATCGGTATGTTACTTCTGCAGTAATCTCAGCATCTAAACTTTCAGAATTTGGGATGTGAATGCAGTTAAGATATGTGCTTCCCATCAGATGACAAATGAAATCAAGATCTCTGTTGAGATACTATTTTATTGAAAGTTCTGTCAAAATTTAAACTTGCATACCCCAAATCTGAACAATTCTAAAATGCAAGTAAGTTGTTGAAATGTTTGGTTTCAATTTCCCATCAGGCGTTGCTTTTTATTTCCTAAGTATGTAGACAGTAAATCAGAATGCAGCAGTAATAAAGCAATTTTGTTCCCATTCTCAAGTTCATTCTTAAAAAGGAACAGAAAAATAAAGAATGAAATACCAATATTTACACGGGGGTTGGGGGGGAGAGAAAGAGTAGGAATGAATTGAACTAGTCCAATCCTAAGATTCAAGATTCCTAGAGTTTTTCTACAGTAATAAATTTTGGAACTGAATTTTTGCTGTGACAACAGGAAACGCTGCTAAGACAGCAATGAATTGTTCCCACTCTCTTGTCTATCCCCTGCCTGCATTTAATGGCATGACAGTTATACATTAAGCATGCAGAAAACATGGTCTGGAATTGAGATGGAGATAATGATGTAGATGGCAATTAAAATAGAGTAGTCAGGCTGCCTATTGTGTTTCAAAAATGAGTATGTCTTCTAAGACCTTTCCTTACTTGCACTGAACTCCAGTACATATATGCCAGAGCAGCATTATTATTTTTTTGTTATCTTCCCATGATATTGTCTTCATCAGAGTGTCTACTATATAGGCATGATTAAAAATCCAAGAGATCAGCCACAAAGGTGTGATTGAAGCTTTACCCATTTTAATGTGCAATACACTTAAAAATCAAATAGAGTTTTTATTACAAAATCATGGCTACTATCTTGACTTTTTAAATTATACTCTGTGGATATCCTTGTTTTATCTCATTCACAGTCCAAACAAAGACTAGTTTAAGTTGTCATGTGATATTCCAGTGTTAAAATAGTTTTCCCCTTTTATCTGACAGCTTTAAGGTGCTTCTAAATATTGAGACTTTGTCATTCATTATCTTGGAAGGAAGACAGGCGACTGACAGAGACTGAAAACAGAGGGAATAGAAGGATAAAGATAAGCAATAAGGACAACATTTGACTTGAGAACAGCAAATTTCATGCCAGTATAAGTATCTGCCCAGTCAAGGATGAGTGAAGAGCACTTACACTCAGCACCGAGGAAAGGGACATTTGTTTTATGATAGCATCCTTTAGGTTTCGAGTATGAATCAGAATAGATCTTACAAGCTGGGTCTTAGTCGAGATTCTAACATTAAGCATAACTTAACAAACACTTCTTCAGTGGTAATACCAACTTTTTTTTCCCAATTGAGACTGAGCTTGTAAAAAGGAAACTTGTAAGAACATACTGTTCCCCATTTTCAGCCTTAACATTCCCAGCTCTCTATAGAGTGGCCTAAAAATATCCTTTTGCGGATTTGGTGGGTGGGGTAAGTTAAAAGGTAGAAATGGAAATGATCTGGCTTCCAAAGGCCTCTGTACCCATTGTCATAATTCTCTCTCTCATTTCTGAAACTGTCCCCCCAAGGTTGGTCCCTGCTGCTTTCTAGTGATTTCACCACATCCTCAAAAAGCTTCCTGCAATTCTCTGAAAGGCCTGGAGCCTGCATTTTGACCTACAGTGCCCAAGTTATTGCTTGCTCCTGATGGAAGAGAAATATCCTGTGTGTGGATTCTTCGAAGAGTCAGTGCTATAGCTGGCATAATTAACTCCAGCTATAGCACTGCTGCCTTTATCTTGCACACCTTGAATTTCACCTGATTCACAAACGTCTGAGTTTTTCCTCTTTATACTTACTTTTGCTATTTAAATGAAAAGTGAGACTTACAAAATCTCAAATTTGAACCCAATACTTTGAATGTTCACTCTTTACTTATGCACCATAGAATTCACTTTTCACTTTTCTTCTGTATTATAATGTTGATTTAGGACTTTTGGACAATGGAGGGCTCAACATAAAAACATTACCTAGAGAGGTTAAAGTTTACTTGGCCACAGCTGCATCAGCACCATACTGTGGTGAGTAATTCAAAATTGAAAACTTTCTTCTTAATATCGGAGGACAATAATTTAGAATTCAGAACCAGGGACACCGATAGATTTCAAATGCAAAATGAATACACAGTATAGACAATCTTCCTCTTGATTTTGTAGTTAAAAGTTCTGCTTTAAAGCTCCTCACTGAGATTGAATGGTTTACATCTGTCTCTACTGGAAAAGATCTAAGTACCTACAGTACTAACCTATATGTTCAAATGAGGAACAGAGGCAAGACTAGATCTGGGAGAAAACTGACATTTCATTTAGATGGTAAAAATTGTTAATGATCTGGCTGAATTCATTGTCTTTGAGACATAAGGGGAACAAGAAGGAGTAAAATCTTATTCCTATCTTTAAGAAAAAGAAAACTGGAGGATCTAGACAACCAGAGAACAGTAACTCTGCAATTGATACCTGAGAAGATTTTAGAATAAGTTTATAATGTTTTAATTAACTATTTGTGGTATATCGCTCAACAACTCGCAGACAATATATGCCTATGTTCTCCCATAATAAAAGTAATATAGACCAATTATTAATTGATTTTAAAGGATCTGACTGATGAGGGGACAGATATTCTTGTATGAATTTACAAAGAACCTAGCAACAATTTTCTTTTTAATAATGGAAGCTAATTATGTTTAGTGCTTTCTGCTGAGAATGTATTTTCTCTGTTGCTTAGTACACCATACACTTGTGGAGTTCCACTTGCAACAGAGGAGAACTTCAGATACCAATATTGAGATAACTTTTCTCACTAGCAATTCCTCAGCTAGCACCAGCTTCATCATGTGAGTAATAATGGACAGTTCCAATGTCCTCTTTTGTTCCTTTCAGTTTGCACAATTATCCAATAGGCAGCGTAATCTTAACTAGCCAAAATGGCAATGAACTGTCAGACTTGTGGAATCTGTTCTGTGTCAAATCTAATTCCCTTCTGACTCCAAATATGTGATGCATGTTTGCTTGTTTTAAGCTTCTCTTGGATTCAGTGTGCTGCAGAATAATGTAAAACTAACCCAGCCTGTCTTCACTTTGTACCAGCATTATAAATATCTGCCCAGACTGATTTGGACATGGTATAACATTTTTCTTCTTCTAGCCCACTCTCATCCCATATTTTATTTTTCACTGCATATATTGGCAGATCTTTTTTTCACAAAAAAAAAAAAAAATCACCATAGTTGGCAGAAATTATTTCTGGAACACACTCTAACACTACCAACACTTATTTAATTAGGATTGTGCCATGGATGTTTCCATATAATATTATAATAGCAACAGAGCCATATACATTTGTATTTGAAGCATGTAGATTTGCAGTGTTAGTCTATGAAGACATGAGCAATTGTGCAGTTGCAGAATTCTCTGTAGTATTGAACTAAATGTTCAAAATCAGGATTTACTGAAGTTTCAGAAAATTATTACTTTGATTGCTTGTATAAATAGTGGAGCTACATTAATTTTCTTTACTATTTTCTTTACTATCTTTACTATCAGCTTCTTAATTGTGCAGCTAAATGAATAACCAAGAAAAATGCTAAGTGCAATCTTATATATACATTATGTACACAAAGACAATGTTGAATTTACAGTGCAGAGAGAGTTGGCCAGATGCTGCCAAATGTTGAAGCAAAGCTAAGCAAACAACTGCAGTTATTTAGGAATGCAGATTTTGCTTTTCCTGCAGTGCTTGATTAGTCCCAATGTGTTTTTCTCTCCTCTTGTACTTCAGCTAATATGTACAAAATAAAGGCATTGCAGAAAGCATAGAATTTCCTTTGGATCCTCATGGAAAAAGGCCTGGCTCTCATTGAGAGTGATTCAGAGCTTACTTTGCAGCTTGACTGTAGCTGTTCCCTACAATGTATTTATATTTCTACAAAAAGTCAATAAAACTTTGGTTCCTCTTCTCATACTTTATATCCTATTGGGCTTTGCAGACCCAAGCAGCAAATGCTGGGCAAAGGCTTGCTGATTCATTCTGCTCCACTATGCCAGATAGAAAATGTGATGTTGCAGCACCTTCACAAGTTTTGGAAGAGGAACAAAGATGAGCCACCTATTGTTGGGCACTTTTGTACTGCATCTCTGCCTGTGGATAAAAAGTAAGCAAGAAATACTCTTTTTTTCCCAGCAAGAAAAGTATTAAGAGATTCTTTGTTTGAATTTTAATTTATTTGGGGATAAGTTAATTAAGATGCATTTGAAGCATTTTCCTTGTTCACTTGTCTATATGGTATGTATTTATTTTAAAATATATGAGATTGGAACTCTGTTTGCTTTTAGCTTAAACAGTCTCAGAAGTGCTGGGCAGCTCCAAGTAGCACCATTTCCTTTTCTTCATTCGTCTTTTTTGAAAGCAGTGGTAAAATCATTTTTGCTTGTACCAACTGTAAACTGGCATAATATTTGCTTGACATGACGTCAGCCCTTATCCCATCACCATGACTATTGCCTAGCAGTACCATTTGTATTTGTTGCATGCAGGAAAAGTTAAGAAAAGGGATTAGGGATTGCCTTGGTTTCCTTTCCACCCATGAAATGTCATAGCTACCATTAAAATATCCACCACTTGCTCTCCTTAACATGAGTTGGTGGTGGGGCTGGGGGAAAAGGCAAGAACAAGCAAAACTGCCATAATTTGTTCCTTGCCTAAATTAAGGCCCAATAAGGTCAATTTAAGGTTCTTCAAGTACGAATAGTGAATAAGATGAAATCAGTTTCAATACAACAGAAACCAAACTTAAAATTAAGGATTAACATAAATTGATCGATCTCCATTTCTTCATGTTACCACTGGTAATATTGGTTGAAACGGTCATCCTTTCAAAGGCAATTTAGAAAACGACAATTGATAAAACCATTAAGGAGCAATATATTCCAGGAGTCATTGTCCCCCCCCCCCCAGTGTATCCTTATCTTCTTGCCTTTTACTTTTCTTGATATGCCTTTTCCCTTGCCAGCTGAAATACTTCAAGTTTTGAGAAGCTGCTGTTTTAAGGGGCAATATAGCCTAACGTCATATTAGATCAATATATCCTTTTACTTGAGAAACATAAAGAATGGCAGAGAAATAGATTTGGGAATGAAATAGATTAGCCAAAAACTCCAAACTTATCCTAATCCCATGCTCCTAAGGCGCTTTAGTGAGCAAGGGCTATTGTTTGCAAGGAAAAGGTTGCTAACCTCTGTTATAAAAGATAACACATCTTAGCAAAGATAGCCCAGGACTGAAAGCCTACCTCTACCACCTCCACCGCCACAAAAAAAGTGTTCAGACAAAAGAAATTATTAAAAATGTCCTAGGGCAGAAAATTTTCTGCTATTAATTCAAAAAGGCAGGCTGAAGAATGGGAATTTCAGTTCTTTTTGTAAATTATTATTGTTGCATGGCAATTTACCAAAAATGCATTAAAAGCTTAGCAATATCCTTTAACTTTATTCTGTTCTTTCTTCAGTGAGAAGATGATGTGCTTGCCACAAGTGCTGACTATTACAAGTCATAACCCCCTTCTTCAGAACCTCAACATTCAGTGTGATTAACCCAGTTTTCCCTTGTGGACACAGATATTATAAAGGGGCTATAACTTTGAAGGTAGATATTTTAAAATTAAATGTATGGCGTTAAAATTTTTTTAATGTATTGCCTGTCACAGAAAACTTGCTTCACATCAACTGCTAATAATTTAAGCCTGTTTTTAGTAAAAAAAATTAAATAGTTTTACAACTATGAAGAAAATAAATACAATGTATATAAAATGGAACAGCACCTAATTGAACAGGACCTATTCCTAACAAATCTGGAGTAAAAATAAATAGATTCTGCCAGAAACTGGCTGTATGTGGTGCCAATTGTTTTAAGTGCTCCCTATATATTACTCTCCCCTGTAAATGCAGTTCTCCCTTTAGAAGGAAGCAAATGGGATGTTTTCTTGATGAACTTTCAGGAGTGGGAGGCCATTATCAAGGAAGAGGGTATTTCATGAATTTCTCTTCTACTGCGTATCTCCATTAGCACATTCAACTCAGTTTTCTGACCCATTAGATCAGGGGTGTCAAACTCATGTCATCACGGCGGTGTCACATGATGTATTGGGACTTTTTCCCCCTTCGGTAAACCAGGTGTGCGCGTGGCCAATGCTGGATGCATCTGGCCCACTGGCTGGGAGTTTGACAGCCCTGCACTAGATGAAGACTTTACACAATGCAGGATAAACTTTTTCCATTTGTATCCCAAGTAGCATTTTGCAGTAAATGTAAGCAAAATTCTACCTCTTAGTCTAAAATCTTTACCCAAGACAACTGGCATGTTAAAAATATAAAGATTTCCTGGATCATATTTCTTAATTCAAAAAAGGAAAAGCATAGAAAATGGACATATACATGTTTTGTCTGATCTTCACTCCTTTTGCCTCAGCAAAATCCTTTGGTATTAAAATAAAGACATCAGGATTGGTTACCAAACTTGGCATCACTATTTTAATTTTATTTTGTAAATATGTTTTTGTAGGTTTTAAAAGCAACACCCTCAAAACTGTTAACAGTAGAACCTTTGCCTCTCATTAATAATGTATAAAATAAAGTTTTGATTTAACTTTCCATTCACTTGGGCTTCCTAGTGTAAGTCTTTTCATCGCACCAGTGCTTTCTGAAGAGAACTTGATGTCACTGAGGACAATGCTATTGAAAAACAACTTCATTTCTGTCATGCAAGTTGGATGAATTATTGAAACTAATAGCAGCATATACTGTATGCTTCATCCTCTCAATTCATTGCATCCCTACAGTTGGTATATTATCCAATGCAGGAAGAAGGAAGACAGTGTTGCTATATTAATTTATATCCTGATTTTCTCTCCATAAGTTACTCAAAGCAGTTAAGGTAACAATTAAAAGCCAACACTTAAAATATTATAAATCACTATATGGATCACTATAAACTAGCACAAATTGGAAAGGGATGTATTGACTCTTTCCAAAGACCAATTGGGAGAAAAAGGAAAGCCTTTTACTCTGTGCCTAATAAATAAAACTTGGAAAGCAGATGCATCTTCAAGAGAATTTCTCCAGTTGATATTACTTCCTCAATAGATTCATCCTGTGGTCCCTAGATAGTTAAGTTGTGAACTGTTTAAAGGCAAATTCTTAAACTTTACCCTGAAAGTGCAGATCTTGTATCACAGTTATAATGTGTATCTAGTATTATACACCAGATAGCAGCCTATTTGTTGAATGTTATACCAACTGAATTTTCCAGGTAGCTACTCTCAGCCTGGGGGTGGAAAGTTAAATATTTAAGTTCTGTGCAATCGTGGGATGCCTTTGTGAAGAATATAGCTTTAGTGAGAAGAATGACTCCTCACATTGGCAAGCACACTAATGATAGCCAAAAATGGAAGGAACAAATGAAAGATTGTTTTCTTCCTTCTTTGATTTGTGAAAGAAGAGAATTAATAGAACCTCCATCATGTTCCATCAGTTAATTATACCATTATAATTCCAAGACATATAATATATTTAACATATATCAAGTGTTCAAGAAAACAAACATCCAGGTGCCAGAGCAGATCGATAAACTCTGGAAAATATCCCATCACTGCCCCTCTGTTCTATGTATGTCTTTCATGGTGCATCATATGGACAGAAATTTTATATATATTTTGACACACAAATAATGAAGGCTATCGTGATTGGTGATCAGTGATCTGATTGCTTCATGCAGGTCTTGGATTCCCAATAGCTCTTCTCTAGAGTTCTGGGGTCTGAGTTGGAGCCAGAGGGGCTTGTCCTTTTGCAAGGGCAGGATGATTAGTCCTCAGGTGGTTTCCCAAAGCTGTGTGAAAGAGAAGCCATAATTATTTATAAGAACTAGCTTATACCTATATGTCCAGTTTTAAAGGAAACAACTCCATTGCCCAAGCTAACATCCTAATGTTTCACAAAGTCTTATCAGTGTAGGTGACGACTTGGCTGAGCCCGAGGGAGGGATCAAGCGCATCATCAGCCTTGGATCCCTACATACCCACAAGAGATCTAAATCCAGCCCACCTTGAATACATGGGCGGCGGGGGGGGGGGAATAAATCTGGCATATCAAGGAGAAAAGCTTTAGAATTGTAATCTCGTTGAATCAAATCCCAACATTGTGATGTAACTCAACAGATCTGAGAGTACTCTGGTTGCATTGCAGGAAATCAGACCAAGCAAACCAAACCTTACTTTTTTTATTTTCATCACTCTTCCGTACAATAGTTTTCCTGTTAGAATTGACAGGAAATATATTTAAAAATGTCCCAAAGATTCTTTTCAAAAGGCAACTGGATTTTTTTGGCTTTTTCCTTGAAAATGTTTCACTTCTCATCCAAGAAACTTTTAGTTCAGTTCAGCCAGAACTGAAAAAGTTTCTTGGATGAGAAGTGAAACATTTTCAAGGAGAAAGTCAAAGAAATCCAGTTACCTTTTAAAAAGCACCTTTAAAACAACCATAACCTGGATGATTGAGAATCTCCATATGTGTGTGTGTGTGTGTGTGTGTGTGTGTGTGTGTGTTTTCTTAAATTTTCACGGGTACTTACATGTATGGTATTCAGCTTTGTTCAGGTATTTTCCCATGTCATTATAGTTGTACTTTTAAAGTTGTAGCAATGTTTTAAAGTTTTAAAGTTGTAGCAACATTTTAAAGTTGTAGCAAAGTTGTAGCAAACCTGTTCATGGAAGAATTCGAATCCAGAGCCCTAGCTAATGCCACCCACAAACCCAAACTACGGTTAAGATACATCGATGACACATTTGTGATTTGGCCCCATGGAAAAGAAAACCTAAACAATTTCCTAACACACCTAAACAGCACACACCCCAAAATAAAGTTCACCATGGAAACGGAAACAAGCAAACAACAACCATTCCTAGATGTACTAATCTACAAAAAAACAGATGGCACACTAGGACACACCATATACCAGAAGAAAAAACACACAAACCGCTACCTCAACGCCCAATCCCACCACCACCCAGCACTCCGTGGCCAAAACACTAATCACCAGAACCAAATGCCTGGCAGACAAGACACACATAAAGACTGAACTATGCACCCTGACTAAAGTACTGACAGCTAACGGCTTCCACAAAAGCAAAATAACCGGCTTGATCCACAAAAACACACTGAGACATCATGGAGACCTAGAAGATGAACAGACCTATGGAACAGCTGTCCTGCCCTACATAAGAGGTACTACAGACAAAATCAGTAAGATACTACACAAGACTGCCTTCAAAACAGACAGAAAAATAGCAGCCATCCTAAGAAACCCCAAAGATAAAATTGACCTGGAAAACCAAGGCATATATGAAGTCCCCTGTGCATCATGCCCTGCCACATACATTGGACAGACCAATAGAAGAATAAGTACCCACCTGGATGAACACAAAAATGCAGTAAAAAAGCTGGAACACACTTCCTCACTCGTCCAACACATGAAAGCAACAGGTCATAGCATCGACTTCAATGGCACCAAAACCCTAGCCACTATAGAAAACCCCAGCTACAGAATTATCAGAGAAGCCATAGAGATTGAAAAAAGACCTGAAAGCATGAATAGAAGAGATGATTCCACCAGACTGTCAATTATCTGGAAGCCTGCACTCTCAAACAAAAAAATATCCACACCACAAGCCAGGCAAACACCTGGGCACAAACAGATCCCCCCTGATACCTCAGCTCAAACACACCCCAACCAGGCACCCAGATGAAACCTAGCTTCCTAATAAATGATAGCCGTCCATTTACTCGGAGCCAAGCTGCACTAAAAGCCTCCAATACAGGAACACAATGTTGCCAGCCAATCAAGACAAAAAAAGCCACAAAACAGACGGAAGATATTAGAAACACCAATCAAGCAGAACGCAGCAAATTCCAAGACCAATAAACACAGACCAAGACTCCCAACCAATCAGGATGAAGAAAAAAACCATTCTGGCACAGCAGTAGGCTAGCCACAAATTTAAAACTGAAACGGCTGTGAAAGTCTGACTCACAGACAAACGCTATACAGAAGCCTGATGATGGCAGATGAGATTCTACCGAAACGTTGCTACAACTTTAAAAGCACAACTATAATGACGTGGGAAAACACCCGAACAAAGCTGAATACCGTGTGTGTGTGTGTGTGTGTGTGTGTGTTTGTATATGTGTGTGTGTGTATGGATTTTCTCAATGACTTGTTAAAGTTAGTGCTAGCCTTTTAATATCAGAAATGAAGAGTATAACCAATGACACAGTCAGCCTCCACCCAAAAGCTGTTTTCAGAATAATAAGAATTTGTGAAAAATATTAACGTGAGTTTGAACCTATTTTATCAAGACACAAAGATCTTCTCTTTTAGATTCTTTGTTAAAGTTAAGTTTATTTGCTTCTCAAGATAACTTGCAATGAGTCAATTTAGATCAAAAAATATTACTGGAACTTTATAGCAATAACAATAGTACTTAGACTTATATACCCCTTCATAGTGCTTCACAGCCCTCTCTAAGTAGTTTACAGAGTCAGCATATTGCCATCAACAATCTGGGTCCTCATTTTACTGACCTCGGAAGGATGGAAGGCTGAATCAACTTTGAGCCGGTGAGGACTGAACCACTAGCAGTCAGCAGAGTTAGCCTGCAATACAGCATTCTAAGCATTGCACCACCACGGCTCTTATGTTTTTCCTATCTTCCCCTGTTCACAAACTCCTTTCCAAAATTTGATATTTGGTTGTACTATGTTTAAAGAGACTGTCTTACTAAAACCTTGGTGGATGAAGGAGAGCAGTTAAAATTATGTCAGTTGAAGATTTCCATTTTCCTCGAACTTCCTAAAAATAACATCACCAAATAATGGCACTTTTGTCATCAAATTGCATGTATATGAACTGAAAATTACAAAAAATGGTGTGATGGGGAATGCAACCTGATTTGCCTAGCCCTGATCTGCAGAATGGTTTCAAACACAAATTTTAAAACAAACAGTAACAAATAGTAAACAAACAAGTATATTAATAACATTTAGCTGCAAACCAAAACCTCATGAAAACATCAGTAGAACATACAGCACATAATTCTAACCATTTTTGAAACAGATATTAAAGTTGACAGAAATAAATATGAAAAAAGTATCATAGAAAAAATCCATAGTCCTGGTACCATCAATGAAAAATGAGATGGTGTAATTCAATCTTCTTGATGACAAGCACAGAGACAGAAGCGTGAATCTGTTATATATTATTCACCCAAAACTCCATTCCTTCCCCTTCTTAGGATGGGCATTGTGTGAGGGCATACTGCAAGATTTCATGAGAACTGGGCAGGATTCCAAATGATCCCTGCACTGATTATCAATGTGTTCTTTAGCAGATTCAACTAGATTTATGTGTTTAAAGCTGAGAAGGACAAAGATGTGAGAAAATTAGAGACTGTCTGCTTTTATGCCACAAATCCATACTTTAGGATCTAACAGAGAGGCCTCTTTTAATATCTCAACTGATGCAGGCTCAGTTCACATGGAAAAGAGAAAGGGAGAAGTTAGTGCTGCACTTAAATTGTGGAATATCATACACCAGGAAGCAAGGTTGGTTTATTTGTATCATAGAATTCTTGCTTTTTCCTCAGGATTCAAGCACATATTCACTGAGTCACAGCCTATGAGGTACCAGCTGGTCCAAATCATCTAAGTGAATTCTCTGTCAGTGAGCCATAAAGGAGATGCCACTTGTCTCCTCAGACTTCTTTCAAGGAAAGATACTCCAGGCTCTGTCCTTCTGGTGTGCACTGTGGGCAATCTCTCAGCACACACTACAAGTGATCAGCCTAGAGCCTTCCTGGTATACATTGGGAGTCTTCTAGGCTGACCAACTTCAGCACATGCTAGGCAATCCTGAAGCCACTGGGCTTTGGAGCACTTCAACCAGTGCCAGAAGAGAAGGCTGAGATCAGTACTGGTCCAAAGCGATTTTATTGAGGTGAATCAAGTCAGGTCTTTGCTTTGACAACGTGAATACGGTTGCTTCACAGAATGAATAATGTCAATGTAATAAATCTAAATTGCTTCATACAAGCCTTATATCATTTTATATCATCTCTAAATATAAGTATTCCTTCTACCTCATCCAAATCGCTAATAAAATTATTGAAGAGTAACATGCCCAGGATTGAACCCCATGGCACTCTAAGTAGTATCTTCTCTCTAATTCAATGAAGAATCATTAATGAGCATTGTCTGAGTTAAGTTTTTGAGCTAGCAATCTATTGAACTAATTCTCAAACCATTTAGCCTACGTTTAGTTTATTAGTTAAATTAGAATGCAATGGGTATGTTGTTAAATACATTACTGAAATCAAGATATATTATGTCACGAGCATTCTTACAATCATTAAGGAAGCTAGTAGTTCTTCATAAAAAAATGAGATGAAGTTTGACAAAGCCATGACCCAAAGTACTTTTCTGAAGCATATGAACTAAGAATTGATATACCGCAGGTTCTAAGGAAATGTGGGGCAATCAGTATGCTGGGTTCATTAGTTACCCTTTCCTTGCATATCTAGATATGTTTCTTTCTAAAGGCACAAAGAAT